CGCGGCCGGCCCCACCCTCCGCCGGCCCCTCGCCCGCTCCGGGGGTCCCCCCCGCCGGCCCGGCCCAGGGCCTGGTGGGGGGCACCGGGCGGAGTCCCCCCCGGGCGGGCTGCGGGCGCCGGGGAGGGCAGCGGCGCGTTACGGGAGCCCTGGTCCCGCTCTCCCGAGGGCGCCTCTTCCAGCCCTTACAGGCGAGGGACCCGAAGGGTTGCGCTGAAGGCTTTGCCGGGCGCTGGCAGCTGGCGCCAGGGCCTGCGGGCTTTGAGAGCAGGAACGGGCCCGTGGGGTTTTCTTGTCCCCGTGAGCGCTGGGGGGAGGCAGGGCGCGGTCGCTGGGTGGGTTTAGCAGCGGCGAAGTCTGTGTTCGCCCACTTCATCCTCTGCTGCCTGCTTGGTAACAGCCCCAGCTCACTGAACCTTTCGGTATAACCTCACAGCTGGTTTAAAATGCTGGGTTATGAAGCTCTTGGGTGCCTGAATTTTTTGCATTTGAAACCGTTGTCCTTACAGAAAGTGGCAGAAAGATGCAGTTCATCCTTTGGTCGTGAACTTGGCATTTTTGCAGTAGTAGAGTTTTCATCGACATACAGCTAGTGCTGTTTGCTTCTGAGGGCTTGATGGTTTTGTCCCCGGAATAATTGAGGGTGATGTTTGCTGTGTGCAGTGTATGCAGCTGTGATGCTGGTATGATGGAAGCGTAAAGAAGGACACGCTGGAAAAAAATGTCCTTTTCAGTTATAAGGCTGGGTTTTTTTCCATCATCAGGTTGCTTAGATAGCCTTAGACAAGAATTTACGTTTCCTCAGGGTTGAACTTCCATGTATTCAATTATTATTCGTCATAATCTAATCTTTCAGTGCTACCTGTTGATCTCTCTCCCATTTCTGACCACCTTTTCAGTGGCAGAAATTGCGTTCTGCAGGGCTTAGGCCAGCACATTGTAGTAACTCTCTCTTGTTACCCCTCAGAGACTGTTCCCAATGATGATGGTTTGGACAGTTTTATCCCACACTGCTTTAATGCAGTTTTCACCAGCTGCCCAAATGCCCATTTAAGATCTCTTGGATCATGTGTGTCTGTAGCAAACAGGTCATGTGAATAAAAAGGTAAAATTTTATCACCTGGAGATAAGCAGCTGTCCAGTGAAATGAGGGAGATTAAAAGGGAAACGGGTTTCTAATCTACAGAGGGTGTTTGAAGAAGAGACAAAGGAAGTTGCCTCTCCTTTTTCCACCCATGCCTCGACTGAGGTAGCAGGAGGTATTCTTCAGGAATGCAGAACTTGCAGCGCTTTACATTTCTCATCTGTCAGCTATTCTCTGTTGCTTCACTTGACAGTTTACTCTTTTTTTTTTTTTTTTTTCCCTCCCTTTTTTGGC